CTGTTGCCCTGTTGCAGTTGCCATGGATGATTTCTTGGGTCCTTTGTGGACTGGATTCTTTTGTTAATGCTGTTGGCTTTATTTCTACTTTTAGATTCTGGATCCCTTTAAAGAACAAAATTGTTCTTTCCTAAAGTATCAGCCTATTGTGAAATTGCATTTTGCTTCATCGTGACTATTGATTATTGGAGAATTTTCCTCTTGAAGAACTGTCCAGATCTTTAGACACTTAATCATATTATTCTCATAGGGTGTTAATATGCTTTTTATTTGATAGCTCAAAATTAGACCAAATACTGGAAAGGTTTGAAGGAATTTCCTAGCAATAATATTTTGTTGTTTTTGTGGGCTTTCTTTGTGTTCTTATCCTTCCTCACATTTAACTGAATTCTTTAATACTTATGTGTCCAATGGGCCCCCTCAAGATATCCATATCATAGCCCCCAGAACCTGTATATATACTACTTTACATTACATGGAAGGGAAAATTAAGTTAAGGATCTAAGATTATTTTAGATGATCCAGGTAGGCCAATGTAATCACAAGGGCACTTATAAGATACAGGCAGGACAGTCAGAGAAGAGACATGATGAGAAAGCAGAGATTGGAATAATGTGCTTTGAATATGGAGGAGGGGCCATAGTCCAAGGGTGCAGGAAGCATCTAGAAGCTGGAAAAGCAAAGAAATGGATTCCCCTGCAGAGCCTCCAGAAAGAACCACCCTGCTGAAACCTTGATGTTTAGCCCAGTGAAGACTAATTTTGAACTTCTGACCTCCAGAATTGTAAAATGATAAATCTGTATTGTTTTAGACCACTAAGTTTGCAATAATTTGTTACAGCAGCAATAGGAAAGAAACTAACAAATGAACTTACGGTGATAAATTGAGTGTTTGGGGAGATTAATTAATAAGAAAATTATTTTACATTCTTCTAAATAAGCATATATGAGAGAATACTGAATTCCCTTTAGCATTAATTTTCCAAGTCCCTGTGGAGGAATATTTCACTCTTAATTGGTGGTTGTAATAGCTTTTTGGTATTCCTTCCTTCAGGGCTGTCTGCTTTATGTACTTGCTTCTGTTCTCAAGTGATTGAGTAGTTGTCCTGAACCTTCTCTTTTCTATTTGATTGAAGATGACTTGTTCAACTACCCAAGCCCTCTTTGTCTTTTTCTTTTTTTGAAATTGTAACCATTAGCTGTTTATGTGAGACCTGATGAACTGTGGCTTTTTTATTTTTTTTTTAAAGATTTTATTGGGGAACAGGGG